TAACACACAACTTATATGAAAGATAATAATTTCGTGATAAATAACCATTAAAATATGATAATCCCACCTTTCATTATAATTAAAACCAATTATAACTTTTAAACCCATAAGCATTTGAAAGATCAACAAGTTGTAAGCCAATGTCTCAACTCAGCGCTTTCTGAATTGCATACAAATGAAGTTGTGAACCGGTTTGGCATTAACATTTTCTTAAGAGCCGCATAATCTGTCTTCTTGATTTGCTGTATGACTTCTACACTATTGATATTCAAAGACGTCCGGCAAACTTGTCATTATGTCAGCCGTGTTGAGCAATCTACTAAACTAAAGTAATGTTATAATCAGTTAGTCGTAGCACAATTACAACAATTACGACAAATGCCACACAATGTAATTACAATTACAATTTCATTTATCGAGCTGTTGTTGGCTCATAAAAATGGCAATCACATTTGCATTACATGATTTTCATTCTCATAAACATTTCGTTTCCATACCCAATGCAAATTGTTATGATACATCGAACAATTCGTACTGCGCACTTACGATTCGTAATGCCCTCTTGAAACTGAACGCAGGGTGTGCTTTGCCCTCGGACCCATCAACGCAGGGCCATCGAGCAGATATTTATTATAATGTCAGTCGGAGCTGTGGGCTTTGGGAGAAACGTGCGCGCCTCGTGTTAGTATATTGGATGAAACGCAATTTATAGGTATTGGATGCCTAAAAATAATACGATTATTGGGACTTCAGCTGTCAAGTGGCTTCTGGTGACAAGTGTCTGACACCTGAGAAGTAACGCAATTAATCAACCGGCTCCCAACTCTAAGTTCAGTGTATGCACACTTTACCTGCTTGTAATTAAGGAGCGGGCTTAACAGAAAATAAACCCAAATTGGGCAATAACCCAAGATAATTGAAAAGCAACTGAAAGCAATCAATCTTAGTTCAGGCTAATGAACTCGTATGCAAAGTGATGTAACTAACTGTTTTGTCAAGCTCGTTGAATTGGAAAATTTGAAGGCTATTGTACAATATAATTTGGGATTCATTCCAATTATGAACACAACTTGTCACAGATTTACACACAAATGTTTTGAATTGAAGTTATTCTGGCATGAAATATTCATCGCATTTCCTAGAAGCAAAATCTAATAAGCTTTTATTTCTATATTTTATTTATATTCAAACAATATTTGTTTTCATTTTCATTTTATTTTTATCATAGAGCATTCGTTTAAATGAAGTAAAAGGATTTGTGAAGTCTTACTATTTTTACCATAAGAATATTAAGTCTCCCTCTTTGTAATCTAAGCATTCGATTTAATATTTATTTTTAATGAATTTTTTTCGCTTCTTGCATTTAATAAGATTAATCTGCTTGAATCAATTGGATATTAAATCCTTACTATTTGTGCCATTAGAGCTCAAATAAACATTGAATCTTTCCCATTCAGATCTTAATATTTCTTTTTAATATATAGTTTCCTATTATTGCATTTACTAAGATATTCTTTTTTGGTTGCACACTTGAATAATTCTGAAATTATATATTTTTCTGTCGCAATGCGACAGTCGTCGCATAAATTGCAAATTGAAGCAGAAAGCAGCACAAATGTATTTCCGCATCGCCACAAGCTTGATTAATTTCCGAGCCAGCTACTTTGTCTGCCAAGGAAATTGAAAATGGATATTTATCTAAGTAAATAACTCAACTGGACAAAACCAAAGGACAATCTGGGCTTTCGTCATGCTCTGAATTGATTGAATTGCGTGAATGAGGTCGCAAATGGAAAGGGAGATAGACAGAGAGGGAGAGAGAGAGAGAGAGAGAGAGGGGCGACCACTACAAGAAAAAAACTAGGTTAACATCGAGGCGGACAATTTCCAAAAGGCGAACACAACTTTAAATTACATTTAAAGCTGTTGGTGTCTTTGACATTTTGCCGCGTGGCTGTTGTCCTGTTTGCCAACTGATTGGCTTTGACTGCCCGACCGCCTGCCCGCCTGCCTGCCGGCATACCTGGCTGCTTGTTTGCTATGGGCAATTAAGAAATTCCTGACCATAACTATCGACGCTTTATAATTTTTATCACATACATTTTTTATCGCAAATATCACAACTTCATCAGCAATCACAGCGACCAACAGCAGCAGCAGCAGCAGCAACAGCCAAGCAGACAATTAGCCATAAAATTAGCTGCAACTTGGCTCAAGGAATATGGCGGCCAAGGCAAATTGAAAACAATTTAAGTTATTTGCATATAAATGCAACTTAAGACGGAACAGCAACAGCAACTGCAGCAACAACAGCAGCAACTGCTGCAACTTCTGCATATTGGCCATGTTAACGTGTTGGGCCCGCATTGTGGCTTCTGGTGTGCCCAGTTTGTTTAACACAAATGCATTGTTCACATAAACTAGGCAGGAATGCACAACAGCAGTTGCTTGACTTACAGATACCCTATAAGCTGGCAAGCACTGCTAAAAATAAGTCTACTATTCTCTCTAACCAGCATCTAGACCAGCATTTATCCAATAAATTATTATTTGCATAAGCAACACGAATTGATCGATTTGTAGCTATCCTGTAGTCACACAAAACAGTTTAATAGCTTCTATAACTTTGCCCGGAAACCATTGAAAATGAGAAAAAAACTGGTAAAAGGAAACATCTCCGAGCTCCGTCCATCTGCCTGCCGGTCTGTCGGTTCGTCTGTATGTATTAGGCCTTATTTTAAACATAGGTACGGAGCGCAGTACAAATTTGTCGATCGATAATAATCAAACATATTGCAATCCTTTTGTCTTCTGAGCAACTATCCTAGGTTTTAAGAGATATAGCCAAAATTGGCATTTAGCTTCCAGAATAGTAAATAAAAATCAGGTAACTTTCACTTTAGTCGGGCACCTTTTTGACTATTCATTTATTGTGGTATACGATGCGTATACGTAACAGGCAGACAATTAGATAGTCAGCTTCACTGAAAGTAAAATTAAATTGAAACAAAAAATATGCCATATTGTTCTTATTAATATAGCAAAATTTGTTTCTCGAACATCTTTCATATGCTAAAAAAAAGTTCAGCATTCCCCTATCTGTCACATACCCTTTGCACAAATTTCAAGCACCCTATCATGCAGAAGTTCCACTTACAGGGTATTCAGAATGGCGTGTTCGCCTGCCGCCAATTGAGATAATGCCAAGTGCATTGACGTTTTATCAACTTAAGAATATCAATATTGATATCGCCGCCTGACAACAAACACGCTGCTCAAACGATATATCATTTATGATCTGAAAATGCAGTAATTAACAAAAAACAGAGAGTAACAATAACAATAACAGCAACAAAAAAAAAAAAGAGAGCAAATCAACCAGAAAAAAAAATACAAAACAAACCTAATGAATGTGCATATTTTGTCGAGCGTTAAGAAAAAATTGCACGTGGCGCCTAAACAAAACACTTGCATATAAAATGTGTAGAAAAAAGTAAATAAAAATAAAATAAAATTTGTGTGGCTGTTAAAATATTTTAGCCAAAGTTCAAACTACATTTCACGCCTAATTTCATTTGACAACAAACGAGAAAAATACGTTGGAAATTTTTTACACATTTCACATATTTTTTTTTCTTTCTTTTTGCTTTTGTTGTTAATTTTCAGACATAATTGCAGAGAGCAACAAGGAGGGTGTGCGGGAAAGGGGCGGCCGCAGTGGCAATTGGGGGTGGGGCCAGTGGGGCGACTGGTTATGACAGCAGCAGACGCCAGACAACGGCAGCTGCACAGTCCCAACTCGCCGTCAGTGGAGCATTTGAATAATTTGCAATTAAACTGCAAAAACTCTGAATTCAGTGTGCGGCAATCAAGAGCCAAAAAATAAAAAATTAAACTCTGTCAAGCATTTCTTTCGCGACGGTAAGTCGTGGCGTATGCGTAATATTGCATTTGATTAGTATTTTTTTTTTTTTTTTTGTGAACTGGTTTTTACCGCCTGGCCTGGAGTCGAGAATGAATCGAAATGTCCGCATCCATCAGCTGTCCGCGCTTCACAATTGCTGTGGCGCGCTTGATGCTGATGAAGACAGCAGCCGGGGCCAGAGACCGGTCAAAACCAACACCCAACTGTGTTTCCAATTAAACGCCGCTTTGGCAAACAACGACAATGACAGCAGCAACAGCACAACAACAGCAACAACAAAAACAACAGCAGCAGCAGCAGCAGCATCAACGTCATTTGTATCTGTTAGATGCAACAACTTTCAGTTTGTTTTACGGTTAGCTTGTCAGTTGCAGTTGACTCTGCCAAAGAGCCAAAGAAATTGAACTTGAATGTTTATGTGGCAGGCGCTTTAAATCAGTATGGGGGGTCCACACACACACAAACAAACACAGCCACACACACTCTCTCACACCTGGTCACAAATAACCCCTTGGCAAAGCCAAAACTCAAACTAGCTGCAGCTCAATTCGTATGTAACTGTCAACAAGTTGTCAATCAATTTGAAGCTGTTGATTGGCTGATTGAAAGCATTTGATTGATTGCTAGATTTACAGTTGAACACTTGATTGGTTCAATCCAGTTGACAAGAGCGCGCGACCAGTTCGCTGTAAACATTGAACAAAATTGTTTGAAGAGTGTCTTGTTTTTTTTTTCATTTTTTGTTTTTCAAGCGGGTTAAGAATTGTAAACTATAAGCTTAAATGTTTTGATTTAGCTTAAAAAGTTCGTGAGATTTAGCAAAGAGAGCTGCTGAGATCTCTACAGGTCTATACGAAAATGGTATTATTTAGAGCTATGTGTGGTTTGACATGTCCATACTTTCTATTTGAACCACTTTTGTACAAACTTTAGACTTTAGAAACTATTCAAGCGCTCTTACTGAGTTAATCCAAGCAACTGATTTCCCTGGGCATATATGTTTCTGTTTTAGCATAAAAGCCCAAGATTATCTCTGATATCAATCCGACATATAAAATTGCTATGACGTTTATTTGCATCTGATATTTCGATAATCAGCTAATGACTGATTCATATTCTTTATAAGCTGATATTAAACGGAGAACTCATTACCAGCTCACTCGTGCCCGTCCAATGGCTCTATTAGTAAATTCTGTTTTTAGTAATCTTTCGACACTTGAGTAGCAAAGTCATGTATCCGATGCTCGTTAGCGTGCTGCTGTTCGCTGCATTTCACATGCAGACAGCGCAAAGTAAGAAAATATCCTTTAAAAACAGAGACTATCCCATAAAATACCATTTCTTTCAAGGCTTGGCACCACGTGGTAAATTCACAAGCGTGAGCTTTGATCACAATACCGAGTTCTTTACGAATATGTCATGTTGGCTCTCGCCCGAAGGCAAACTTAATGTCGATGTGTATATAAAACGCAACCTGCCTCTGGCCATGCGTACGTCTATTACGGTGCAGTACCAGATCGAGAACTCGGCGAACTATTATACGCTCTTTAGCTATGACGTAGACAGCTGTAAGGCCATGAAAGATCTGCTGCAGTTCGGTCTGACGAACATCTGGTTTCGCAACCTACGCAAATACGGAAATCTAACGAGCATCTGTCCCATGAAGGCTGTAGGTTGGCACAACGAGCAGCATTGCGAGCCATTAATTAATATCCCTATTCCAGGGTTATTATGATTTGCGCAATTTTCACCTGGAGAACAACAGCATTCCGGCGTATCTGGGGTCAGGCAATTATCGTATCAGAGATGTGAACTATTATGGTAAAAACAATGCAAACAATGCGAACCCCAAGGCAAAGAAACGTCTCCCTGTCTCGTCTATCGTTTTGCAATTGCAATTGTATTAAAGTTTGTCTACAAATCCTGCAGCTCAATTTAACTGAACTTTTGGCCTGTTGGCCAAGTGTGTCAGGGGCTTCAATGTGGGTGGGGCTAACAACTTTTCACGAGCCAAGTTTGCAGCGTTTGCGTGAGATATGCTTGGAATTTTTTACTCGTTTTCTCAAGGTTCTTGAGCTTGCCAAGGTCTGAACAGAGTGAATTTGTAAGTGAAATTAAATTAACTGCAATAATGAGCTGAGGTATGTTTGAATATTTTACAAATAAAATCTCTGATGCCAGCTTTTTTATTATACATTAAATTTCTTCATTTTATCAACTCAGCATTAGAAATAAACTGAACTTTTCGCTTTAAAACACATTCACAATGCAGAATGGGGCTGCCAGACTGTGAATTAAACAGTGTTGTGTAATAAGTTCAATGTTCAATTTAACTTTATATACATATATATCATTTTAGAAGTAACTAATAAGTTTGAACTTTCAATAATAAAGCAATTAATAAATATTAATTAAGCTAAATAAATATCGAGTTGCCAGACTATTAGTAAAACAGTGTTGAGTAATCCTTACTGTAGGTAATGTTATAAATTACGAAGTTAATTACGTATTAAACAATTAATAATATCCTAATTCCAAATAGTTATAATAAAATAATAAAAATTAATAAGTTTAGCTTAAAAAATATAGTTTGTTAGCGAAATATATATTGTTTTTTATATTGTTTTTTTAGCAGACATCTTAGATTCAGTCTAAGTTTAATATTTTGCTGACCTTTCTTTCAAGACATTTTCTACACTTTCGCTTTTCATATTCGATTACATAAGAATGCCAAGGTCTTTCCCCAAGCCATTTGAAAATGTTTCTTGCGGATTTTTGGGCCAACAAACAGCTTTTACAAATTCTTTGGCCGTCTTTCACTTGGCTTTTATTTCCGCTGACAGGAGCAGCAGCGCCAGCGCAGGGCAATTAGTTTTGGCTCCCTGTGTGCGCTGCCTTTTTCTTTTGTCGGTCAGTGTGAAATTTATGCTTTGTCGGGGCAGAGTTTTAACTAATTGCATAATAAATTTCAGTGAATTTATTGTTAAGAATTTATCTGGCCAAATTGCAATCCTTGTAGCCCACTTAATAAATGTCAAGCAGTCTGTCAAAATAACTGACTTACAGCTAAAATGGGGCGTGAAAGAAAAAAATCTGAATGCTTACGTGTTTTGTGGTCTAATATCTTGTCATAATTGTTATTAGCAGTGGGTGTTGGAGTTGAGCACTAAAATTATGAGCCTGACTTACCCGGGCAACAGTGCAGCAACGGTGCATGGGGGAAGTACCGACAAAAGTGTACCTGGAAAAACCAAATAACGCGAATTGAAATGGGAGTATAAATTAAAAATTATTATGGGCTGGGGCTAGGCAAATTTTTGTCGTTTTTGCATTAGATAAGCTGGCAGCAAAAGGCAATTGCCAAATGTACTTAATAAGCAAATTGTCTGGGTTCATTCTCACTATCTGGTGGGGGAAGTACAATGAGCGCTTTTTGAAAAGCTTGTGCTTAAAAGATAATTAATGCATATAATTATATGGCAATGCATATTAAAAATGTCATTTATTTGCAGGTTACCACAGTTTACGGTCTATGCCAAGATTATTTACCTCCTGATGGTGAGTATTTTAATAACTAAACTTTACAATAAAAAGCACACAATACCAAAAAAAAAAAAATCCCCTAAATAAACAATTAAAATATTGTTTAAAAAACAACAAAAAACATTTGAAAAGAACAGATGTTTCTAGTCGCAGGCGTAATAATATCTAAATTAAATGCACGTACGATCTGTTACATTGTATTTGTTTGCGTAATTTATAAACTATTTTTTTTTTTGTTGCTGTTTATTGATACTATCGCATAATATTTGAAGAACGTAACATATGATAGGCATCAACTTAAAATTCCATTGTGTTTAAAAATGACAAGTTATATCACAAGTTATGTCAATGTAAACAATTTAACTGGAAGCAAGCCCAACCAACCCAACCCAACCAATTGCTGATGATAACCCATCGCAGCTATGCCAAGTATTTTATCAGATCCGTTTGGCATTGCCCTAAAAACAAATCAATGGAAATAAAAATGAGAATACAAAATTGTCTATATATCGATATAAATTGACACTTGCACTGGCCAACAGCAAATATTTGCCAAAATAGACAGAGATAATGAAAAAAAAACTAGCAGTTAGATTGGCTAGTAAATACCCTGTAACTAGGCTCTAAGGTTGGACAGTGAAAACAAGTATTTATTTGAATTTGTAATTCAAGTAATTCATATTTGATTTATTCGTATTAATTGGTGTGTTATACGTGGAAGTTAGCCATCAAATTCAATCAGTTTGGCTTTCGTCTTGAGGAAGCTGCATACCAGATAAGATCCTTGAAAGCCCCCATCTAGAATATTTGTGTGTTTAGCTCTTAAGTTGGACAGTAAAATCAATTATGTTAGTTTGTGATATTCTCTAATTAATTTGTTTGATTCGTGGAAGCTATCCAAAAACTCCATATAAATTTATTTGGCTTTCAGTTTTAGGTTACCAAACATTCAATCGCTGAATGCATATAGGTAAAATGATTTTAGATGTCCTTCTGAGTGGGAACTATAATATTTATGTGGGCTGTCAGCTAAAAGCTTTCCTTTTTAAACAATTTAAAAGAGCACAGGGTATGGAATACAGAAATATGTGCGGGTACACCGGAAATTTCAAGTAAATAATTATTAAATGCCAACAACTGTTCGCTAATTAAATTATACTGTTTGTGGCAAAGCTCTTTACATGTTCATTTCACATTCGCATTTATTTGCCGTGATTTTTTTTTTCTTTTTCTCTGATTTTAATTTATTTTACAATCAATTTTAAGTGTGCCCCCCAGGCGTGTGTGTACACACACTGCAGTATAGTGTGTGGCTGGGCTTGTGTCTGGGTTGTCTCCGTTGTTAATATGCCGAAATAAATAACTGAAATGTCTGGAATTCCGCTGGCATGAAACAACTTGGCGACGTCTTTACAAGTTCCGTTTTATGAATATGGTGTTGTTTTTTTCGAGTAAGCCAAGCGTTAAGCCTGGCCGAACTCTTAACTTGTATTTATTTGTTCAGAATGAACTTTTGGCAAATTATTTTTACTTCTCGTTTTGGCATGCACGGGCCAAAGGCTGCGTCTCTGTGTCCGGGAACTGAGTTGTTGTTCCTCAAGTTGCCTGAATTATTCAACACTTTCGAGTGTTTTGAGTGTATTTGAAGTATTTACTGCGCCTTTGGGCACATTGCTGCCGCATCTGAATGTGTGAGAAATGTTTGTGCCGCTAATACTTGAACCTCTTCAGTTCAAATTGGTCAATCATAAAAATGCCTTTCACCAATTCGGCGGGTGGCGGGAGGAGCCATAGAATGAGGCTATAAATCGGCTGACGGTCAATAATAGAAAAATTTGCAAACTTTATTATGCGAAAAGCAATTCGTGTTTGCACTTCATGAATAGGCAAATATTTTAACTACGTTTTAAGAAGAGAACCAGAATATAGTTAAGGTTCATCATTTAAGAAGTCGGCTGAAAATGTAGGTAAGTTAAGTAGAGCTCAAAGATTCTTTACTATTTTTACATCGAAATAAATATAAACAAATAATAAAAATAAATAGATATATTTTAAAATGTTTGAATATGTACTTTTATATTATTCTATTATTTATATATTATATTTAAATTCAAATATAGTATATACATATATATATATATTTTTAATATTTATTTATCTATTTTACTTTTATATATTTATAAATTTATTAAATTATTATTATTCAACTTTTTATTTTTTATTTTTAGGAGTTTTTTAGTAAGGGTTTCTACATTTAACTTTCATTCTTCACGAAAATATAATCTTCTTTAATTATTAAGAAATGGTATATATTATTTTTAATACCATAAAATAGCTAATTAATTGTTTATAGGAAATATTAGTAATTTTTTCTTACTCCGTCATATTAAATTTCTCAGAAAAAAGCCAATTAACTCATGTAAGGCCTCATAAATAAATTAACCATGTAAGTGTCAGTTGGAGAAATATATAGTATTCGATTTATAATATAGTTATAAACAAGTTTTACACGATCAATTTTAGTTTATGGCGCCTGGCCCGTTGGCTATTTGAAATTTATATGTTATTTAAGGCTTTTTTTATGACTTACTAAATGCACAATTTAGAGTTCGCGCACAGCTATAAAATATAAAATCAGTTTTCCTCTACGGCGCACAGATAAATTAATTCATAAATAACAAATTTATTGTTTACGCAGAATTTGGCTAGCCAACTCGTAATTCACTGAAACGAATAAATCACGACCCTATGTCGAGTGGCTTTCAGATATTGAAATGAAGCACGGAAAATAACTGGCTCAAAAATAATCGAGAGGTTGCTTCATTTTTAATAAAGCTAATGCAAAAGGGGCTATAATTATTCCGACTGCCAAATGGGTTAAAATTATGTGTGCTGAGCAAACAATTGACAAAAAGCGTAATAATCAAATAAATGGTCAACCAAGGGCCAAATTAGTGGCACTTTTAATAGAGCTTAGCAGAGAATTTTGATAGCAGCAGGCTGCGCATTTGTTAACGAAATAGTCAAGAACTCAATCTGAGTCATTTACTATCAAGAAATATTTGATAATACAGGCCAAAACAATATGGAAATTCTAGGAAATTTTTAGAGTGCTTGAAATTTGGTAAAATTCCTATCTTGAGTACGCATCTGCATATTACATACATGATTCATGGCACGTAGACAATCTATTTGGCAGAAACCCACCTTTATATCTATTCTAGAGTTCTTATCTAAATGATCATAAATTAATTATGATACTTCTTTAATTTCACAATTACACGCACACATTGTTATTCCATCGGTTTACAGCTTAATTTCATCACCAATTGTCATTTGAGACTTACAACTAGTGTTTCATGTTATGTTTATGTTATGCGTTAAATAAATAACTAACATTATCTGTATTCAATTACAAGAATTAAGAAATTCGTCATTTGGCATAAACAAAATGAGTAAATATTATCAAGGTTGGTTGAGAAAGTTGAACAAGAAATTAGGTGAGAGTTAAGTAGGTAAAGTTACAGTTCCTAGCAAGTTGTGCTCTGCAAGATGTTAATTAACATATGTGACACGCTGTTCATAACATTATTGAGCTCGCAATAACATAAACAGTTGGCTCAACAGTTCTTAATAACTGGCAAGCTGTTATTAAAACTGAGTTAACATTAGGAACAATATTTTTGATGCGGCAACTATTTAGACTATCAAGCGGCTGTATGTCAAAAGGCATTAAGACAAATCCAATATATTTAATTCAGCTTTGTTAACCTACACTTTATTAACATTAGCACAGGAATCAAATGCAATATGTTACTCTAAAATATTTATTGTTCTGATTTTTTTACACACGCTCAATAAATACCTTCAACTGTGGCACCTCCAACTATGCAGGCTGCCTACTTATCGCACATTCTGCAAGGTACTGACTGCACTTTCTCACAGCGAAACTGAAGTTTTTATAGCAGATGATTGTAATGGTATGATAAAAAAAGTGATTTACATAGCCAAATTGCATGGTGAGAAAGCAACTGAAATTATGCAAATTGAGCACGCCTTACAAGCCACTCCAGAACGAAGGCCACCAGCACCAGGGTATAACCCAAAATTGCAATCTGTGCACCCCAGATCAGATCTACCGATTGCATAGCATTTGGCACCCACACTTTTTCCAGAGATTTCCTGCGCCATTCCATGCGAGTGTACAGTAGAACAGTTGCAGTGTATTTTGGGCTATCACGACTTGTTGTTGTCTTCGTTAAAGAGCTGCCAGACATCTGAGTTATTGCATCGAGCTGCTTGGCCTCTGTGTTTAGACAAGCTGCTATTAAGACTACAACAATTGATTTTATCATCAAGTTAGTCATCCACAATTTGTACTGACACTCAACTTGATTGACCCAAGTGCTTTTATAGCCTTGCACTTGGTGTACTAATTACGTTTAATTAATTTAACCCACGCTAATTAACGGGCACCTAACCAAAGCAAACTCCAAGCTTAGAGCTGCCTAGCAGAAAGTTCTTTTGGTGCCATTGGAAAATATGTATAGAGGGAATAATCAAATAACAATACAAAATCCGATACATAATATATATTATCTTATTGAAAATGATTTGATTTCAAAAAGATTTCCCTTAACCCAAAATCGCAAGCTTCCAAATCCCAAATTTAAATATCAATATATCATGATAAATTCA